GTTTTTTAAAAAAATTTTTTGAAACAGCGTCTCACTATGCAGTTCAGGCTGGCCTTGAGCTCACTTTGTAGCCCAGGCTGGCCTCAAACTTGCAGCAATCCTCCTGCCTCAGCCTCCGGAGTGCTGGGATTACAGACATCCGCCACCACGCCCGGCTGTCCCCTTAAGTTTTATCTCTTCATTCCTAAGTTTTTCCTAGTTTTGCTTTATGTTTTTCTTACCTGTCTCGTATCATTTTCTTAATGTGTTCTAGCTTGTTCTGGAAGAACAGATTACAGTTCTAGTGTGCTCTCCTTGTCTGTAGGGTTTCAGTTGGATATTTCTTTTTTCTTTTAGTTGCTTTGTTTGGAAATTGCCCTGTATATTTTTCTACAGGTCATGTTTATATTACTTTAATTCCTGAGGAAGCCAGGACCTTCACAGTGGGCTACATCCCCAGCCCTTTTTATTTTTTACTTTTGAGACAAGGTCTCACTAAATTACTTAGTTGTCCAGACTGGGTTGGAGCCTGGGATCCTCCTGCTTCAGCCTCCAGAGTGCAAGAATGAAGGGCCTACACAACCACAGCTGCACAGGGAATTTTAGTGTTTCCAAATTTTTAGGAGGAGGATGAGGACACAGAATATTGCTCATTTTGTGACATCCCAACCTGTGACGTTTTCATTATTGTTATTTTTCTCACCCTGAGGGTGGAGCCTGGGGCATCCCTCGTGTTAGACAAGCTCCTCACTGCTCTGAGCTGCACCCCTCCGGCTGGGCACCTTTTCTGATGCAGTGTTGAAAACCAAGTCAGCCGGAAAAGCATCCTGGTGGGGAAAAGAAAAGAGCAGCAGCACGGTACTGTGTGGGTCAGTGCGAGCGCCTCTGGGGGCCCTCTGCACTCAGTTCCTCCCATTTCAAACAATTTCCACTTCATCGCCTGCTTGTTTTTTTGTTTTGTTTTGTTTTTTTCTGGTACCGGGAATCGAACTCACGACGTTGCACTTGCCAGGCAGGCACTGTGCCGCTGAGCTAAATCTCCAGCCCCCATCGCCTGCTGCATCTATTTCTCACTAGGGTAGTTCTCACCTTCTTGGTCCTGTCACTCTTGGGAGGGAATTTTCCTTCCCAAGGGTGGCAGGGAGAAGGTGACTCTGAGGGGAGAGATGAACAATGCTATTTGTACTCACACATTTAAAAAATCCCGTTACATGGCGTTAACAGAACTTTTGCTCTTAGGATAGACATAGGAAGTAGAAGAGTGGTCTAAAGGCCATCTGGGAGCCGGGCATGGTGGCACATGCCTGTAATCCCCACCCTTGGGAGGCTGAGACAGGAGGATTGCCGCAAGCTCATGGCCAGGCTGGGCTCCATAGTGAGTTCAGGGCCATCCTGACCTCCGAAGTGAGATCCCTGCCTCAAAAAAACTCCCAAAACTTTCAGCACTTGGGAGGCAGAGGCAAACAAAGAAAAAGAAAACCCCAAGATGGGTGTGGCGGCCCATGCCTATAGTCCCAGCACTCAGGTGGCTGAGGCAGGAAGATTGTTACTAGTTAGAGGCCAGCCTGAGCTACAAAGTGAGTTCAAGTCCAGCCTGACTTGCACAGCAAGACCTTGTCTCAAAAAGACCAAAAAAAAAAGTGAGATGAAAACAAAGGCTGTCTGGAAACAAAAGATGGGGCGTGTGACACTTGCTCTTCCCTTGCTACTGAGAAAGCCCTGCCTGCGAGCAGGATATCCTCTCTCTGGGAACCAGGGTGTTGCCAAGAAACGTAGGAGAAAAGTGGGCGAAATCCCAGGAAATGGACATTGTCCCGGGACTTCTCCCCAAGGCGTGCCTGGCTGCCCAGGGACCCCTCGGCTTCCTCCCCAGAGACTGTCCTGCAACTTCTTCGAGGACGCGTCGGGCCTGCAGGCCCCCAGCGCCACTGCCTCCTTCGAAGGGTCCCCGGCACCATGAGGGAGGCTCTGTGGCTCTGGGCATGGAGTCTTCTACAGGAAACCTGGTGGTACGGCAAGGGGCATGGCTGGGGAGGGGTCTGTGCATCCCCTGCCATCTTGGGGTTGCACTGTTTCTGTGAGTGGGAGAAGCCGTCAGGCTGTGCCACAAACCTACAGCCAAAAATGCGTTCCCCCCTGGGTGGAATCAGCTTCCTTCCTCCTCTCCCTCCAGCCCTCCTCTCTTCCTCCTTTATTTATTTATTTTTTTTTTAAATTTCAGGATGGGGACTCTTTACATTGCCCAGGCTGGCCCTCAACTCCTGGGCTCAAGAGATCCTCCTGCCTCAGCCTCCCAACTAGGTAAGAATACAAGTACCTGGCTTTAGATACCATTCCTCATTTCCATCTTATCTATTGGAGGAGACTAAGAAAGAGAAAGTGTGGTGAAGAAGAAAAGGAGGCTTCTTTCGGCCTTGATTGGACGTGACCAAGGGAGCACGTTCAGGCACAGTGATCACTGACACTGAGCACCAACAAAAACCCGTGCTTCTGCTTTTTCCAAACTGACAAGCCAGACTTTGGCTGGATTACAAAATACCTTCATCGCAGAACAATACCTAAGGCAGTTTGTGGACTGCCGCACAGGCGAAAGAATTTGAAGGCAACAGTGGGAACAAAAAGGGAATAAAGATTCAAAGGTGAACAGCAGCCTCCCAGGGCCGGAGGCCCCCAACGGTGGAAAGGTGGTGGCCACAGGGGGAAGAAAGTTGGTGAAACAGAGGAGCTGGCAGCTCGCCGGGCAAGTTGCTTGGGACCTGGAACCAAACACAGTATTTTCTAGAGGACGTGGGCCTGGGTATCGTCCTGCAGGCCCTGCCTACACCCCCAGCGCCTGCCAGCATTTCCAGCTTGGCAGCACCCCCAACTTCCACAACAATGATCGCTTTTCTCTGCTATAATAATGCCGTCTAGTTCATTAGAGACCCATTTTGTATCTTTCATTGAGTTCCAAGCACGGGGTTTCTTTCCAAAGAAATCCTATCACGCTTTACATATTAAAAAAAAAAATGATCCATCTCAGAAACTAGTAAAGGTAGAAATATTTTGAAGAGAAAGAAATAAGTTTTTTTCTGGAGCCTTATTTACCTGAACTAACATTATTTTATTTTATCTCATTTTATTTTATTTATATTTATTGCCTTTTTGCTCCTGCCTCAACCTCCCAGGTGCCGGGGTTACAGGTGGGTGCCACCACACCTGGCTAACATATTTTGTGTGTATGTGTGTCTTTTTGAGACAGGGTGTCGCTATGCAGGTCAGGCTGGCCTTGAGCTCACTTTGCAACCCAGGCTGGTCTCAAACTAGCAATGATCCTCCTGCCTCAGCCTCCCAAGTGCTGGGAAACATGTATTTTTTAAAGAAAACATTGTATGCTGTATGCACGAATTCAAGTGTTTCTCAGCACAGTGGGTCTTCGGGAGACAGGTGTGGGGTGGTAGTAAAGCCTCGTGCTTTGCTATTCATTCCACACTCACTCATCTAGTGTGTGTTTTATTGAGCATTTACTATGTGTTCGCAAGGATATAGTAGTTGCAAGATAGAAAATGACCTCAATTTCATGGGGCTCAGCAGAGGACACCAACCACAAAGCCAAGCAAATTTCAGTTAAATAGAATCATTCCAGATGATGATTGGCTCCTTGTTTGTCTGTTAGGTTTTTTTTTTTTTTTTTTTTTTTTTTTGGTTTTTCTCCGGTATCGGGAACCTAACTCACGACCTTGTGCTTGCCAGGCAGGCCAGAACCACATCCCTTTTAAGGAGAGCTTAACTTTTTTTTTCTTTCTTTCTTTTTTTTTTTTTTTTTTTTTTTTTGGAGAAAGGGTCTCCCTATGTAATTCAGGCTGCCCTTGAACTCACAGCAATCCTCCTGCCTCAGCCTCCCAAGTGCTGGGATTACAGGCATGCACCACCATGTCTGGTGTGATTGGTTCTCTGAAGGGGCTGCACATTGGCCAGGATGGGATGGTCAGTGCTGCCCTCCATGGAGAGCTGAGATGAGGCAGTGAGGAAAGGTTGTGAGGTTGTAGGCTGGGCAGAAGGGCAGCCAGGCGGAGGCGCTGGGCGCAGACAGGAGGAGAGGAAGAACACGGTTTGTAGCGTGGAAATATCTGCCAAGGCGAAGACCTCCAAAGAAGACCCAGGCAAAACGGCGTGATGAGCTACCGAGCAAACACAGGGGGCGCTGTTTGGGAGGGGACGAGCCCATGAAGGGCAGCATTCTGGATTCAGAAACGATGAGGACAAGAACTACGTTTTTCGTGTTCATCTTGTACCTCTGAGTTTAAAACAACGGCAAGTTCTTCAAATACAATCATAGCCCGGTGCCCCTGGGGGATGGAGCCCAACACTCAGCTTGGACAACAAGGTCGAAGAGCCTTGAATTCCTTCCATAGAATGGAGACAACCTACACATATCCTCCCAACCTCTGAATCATCTCTACGCCACCTAGAATAACTCATGCGTGGTAGATACCGGGTAGGCGGGTGTTATCCTGTATTGTTTCGGGAATTATGAAAAGAAAAACCTGTACGGCCAGGTGTGGAGGTGCACGCCTGTAACCCCAGCTACTCGGGAGTCTGAGGCAAGAGGATCATACTAGCTTTGGCAGCAACTTAGTGAGACTCGAGCTTTAAATGAAATACAATAAACCGGGTGTGGTGGTGCACACTTGTAATCCCAGCACTTGGAAGGCTGAGGCAGGAGGATCGTTGTGGGTTCGACGCCAGCCTAGGCTACAAAGTATGCTCAAGGCCAGCCTGAACTGTATAGCGAGACCCTGTCTCAAAAAAGACAAAATAATAATAATAATAATAATGATAATATAAAGTAAAATAAAAAGGGCAAGGATGCAGCTTAGTGGTAAAGCACCCCCAAGTTCGATCCCCAGCACTGCACCAAAAAGAGAAACCTGTACCTATTCGGTATTCAGTATAGACGCAGTATTGCTCTCCATGCACGGTTGGTTGGACCCCGTCCAGTCCAGCACGGTCTCCTTCAGGCAATACAGAATCTCACATACCTGCAATCCTATTGAGTGTCACCCAGAAATGCTCATCAGGACTGAAGGTGTCCTTGGACCACTGGAGCAGATCAACAGCCCGAGGGTCACGGAGGACAAAGCTGGCGAACTCTCTGGACAGAGCGACATAGGCAGAGCCGAAATAAATGGTGAGGTTGTGCGGGGGCGGCGGCTTGAGCGCTGTGGTTCTGATCACATAGGACAGCTCCCGGCCCAGGTGCTCTCGGTGCACGTACTTGGTCCTCCCGACGGCGTGCGCCGGGGGCAGCACTCCGGGGGTGATATTCTTCCCCTTAAATCCCTTCAGGTACTGGACGATCTCCCTGTTGGTCTTGAGCGGGAAATCCTGCCCGCAGGTGTTGATGACGTACTTCCAGGGGACCTCGGAGGCCACCAGGTCCCTCAAGCAGTGCAGGTCGGCCTGGAGCCTGGAAATCCCACCGTAGACCACGGGCTCGGTGCGGGAGGCCAGGAAGGCGTTGGGGAAGCAGCTCAGCAATTGCTCCACCGCGCCTTTAAATTCAGCCGTCGCCTTTTCATCCACATGCACACAGTAGATATTCTGAGGCATGAAAATAGCCCGGAAGAGCCTTGCAAAGGTGTCAAACTGGTGATGGACCACCATGATGTACGCCAAGGGGAACTCAGCCTCCTGTTGAGACAGAGGCGCCGTGATGTAGTGGCTCTGGGCCAGGTACTCCGGACAAGAAGGCTTCTGGTAGATCACCAGCTTGGTCCTCCACAGCGACGGGGCCCTCGCGCTGGTAAAGGATGCGCAGACTTGAGTCAGCATCAGCGTGTCGGAGACGTTTAGCCTCTGGTAGCTTTGCGAGCCCCCAAAGCTGAACACATAGAACACGATGAAAACGATGACGGCAGAGACGGAAGCGACGAAGAGGTAGCGCACGGACGAAGGCATGCCTCCGAGAGGGGCGAGGTGTCCAGCAAGTCCGGCGCAGCGCGTGAAGCCGCTCCGGACCGGCTCCCTCCTCCCGGACCCCGCCGGGCGCTGTGGGAGCAGGGTCCCAGAGCGCGATCGGCCGGCCCCGCAGCGGAGCGGAGCAACCGCTCGGCAGCCTCCTTTGTCTCCACCCCGGGGCAGACCGCTCAGCCCAGCCTGCTCCGCTCCCCTCCCCTCCGCGCTCGCATCTCCCAGCTGTTGCGCTACCACTCCGGGAGGGCTCTGCCCCGCGGCCGCAGGTAGAATTTCGGGGCGGCTCTCTCTCTCTCCCTCTCCCTTCCCCGTCACCCCTCCGGCTGCCGCCGAGGGCAGAGCCGAAGCACTGAGCGACGAGCCGGGGCCCGCCCCGCGGTGGCTCCCGGAGGCGATCCGCGCAGATCGGCAGCCTGGCCTCCGGCGTCCCCGCCCGCTCACAACTTCGGCTCTGAGCCGCAGGCGTGGCACGCGGAGCCCTGGCTTCTAGCGGTCGCATCCAGAAGAAAGCAAACTCCCCCAGCCCGGCCCTTCCCCATCCTCTGGCAGAAGGAGGCCTGCGGTCCTGGGGCACATGATGGGGTCGCACCGCGAAGGTCTAAGCTACAGCATCTGCCCTGGGGGCCTCAAGAAAGGACCTCGAGCCCTGGCTACAAGGGACGCTCACATAGGGGCCGAAAGGGCACCCACCCCGACATGCAAACGCATGCTCAAAGACAGGGCCTAGGTGGTGCTTTACCAGCATACTAGGGGATGAACCCGCTCCTCCCCCGCTTATGGTGCTGGGTGGGTCCAGGGGCGCCATGAGCTTCTAATTAAAAGTTTCATCTTTAACCTGCAGTTTTCCTCGGACTTGGTTCTTCATGGGATATAGGTGATTGGATATCACTTAAGATGACTTTTGTTGTTGTTTTGTTATGTCACCCAGGCTGGCCTTGAACTCACAGCAATCCTCCTGCCTCAGCCTCTCCAGGGCTGGAATTACAGGAACTCTCCACCACGCCCGGCTTTAAGATGACTTTTTAAAATGCCAGTTTCCCGCGACCCGATTCGCATTTCCTCTGTTTGTGTGGACATTGACTGGCAGTGGAAACCCAGTCCACGTTCTCTTCTTTTTGAAGTCTCTGCCCTGCTATTAATAGACTATAGTCAAGAGGCTGACTCCTTCCTTTCACTGTGGCTATGAAAAGCAGTGGGGCCCCTCCTAATCGGGCACCCGGGTTCCAGCGGAAGGCAGGCCACTTCCTGAGCTCACCGTGTCTTCATTTTTCCACTTATCTTGTGAACTTTGTCAAGAAATTCGTGTTTTGTTTTGTTTGGTGTTTTTTCAGACAGGATCTCATTATGTAGCGCAAGGTGGCCTTGAACTCACTTATGTAGCCCAGGCTGACCTCAAACTCACAGTGATCCTCCTGCCTCAGCCTCCGGAGTGCTGGGATTATAGGCGTGCGCCATCATGCCTGGCTAAGAAACTTATATTTTCTAAAAAATATGTTTTTGCCAGAAAGAAAAATGTATTTTTATCCCCACAGGGTTAGCACATACTCTTTGTACACTGCTGTAAGATTAGCATGTGTTGTTTGTATCAAATCCCTCTGGTGCTCTTTGGCTCAGTCCCCAGCCTCCGATCACCCTGAGTTCCGGTGCTGCCCACTGGGTGCCGTGTTCTCACGGCCTGTTAGCAGGGTGGAAGAAAGATCCCGCTCCGGGCGCACTGCCTCCAGCTTCCAGTTTATGGAAGCATGCGCTCTTATGCCTTGGATGAGCTCTCCTCTGTCTTGCTGTGAATATAATAAATGCTCAATAAACCACTGCATTTGGGAGGTTGCTATACTCTTGGGAACTTTGTTTGGCAGAGAGGATGACTCTATTTGGTTCCTCGGACCCCCAGGGTGGCCTACCTCAAAGGGCTTTTTGCAACACATACCTTCCACAAACTCTCTATGTCACCCACCCCTGGGTTTTCAGGCCAGGTAGAAAAAAGAAAACTAGATCAATCTAATTCAGGTTGGGTTTAAACCTGGGATCTTCCTGCATCAGCCTCTTAGAATGCTGGGGTTAGAAGTATCTGCCACCACAACTGGCTAAATCAATCTACTTCTCAATATCATCAGTGGAGTCAACCAAAAGGAAGGACATGTTCCTGACAAAGGAAAATTCAATCCCAAGCTTCTCTGTTTCCAAATAATACTTCTAAATATTATTATGTCTGGTATTTGTAAACAACTGAGAGTAATTTCTGTATCTCATTTGGCAAAGCCTTGTGGCTTTGAATGAATATTAAAATATTTTCAGCTTGACAAGGCATTCAGTGTACAGATCCATAAGTTAATCAGGGTAACAGAATCTGTTTACAAGTGGCCAGTGACAAGGAGGCTCAAGGGGCTGGGGATTTAGCTCAGTGGCACAGCACCTGCCTGGCAAGCACAAGATCCTGAGTTCGATCACCAGTACCAAAAAATAAAGAAAAAGGAAAAGAGAGTGTAATTGTTTTTCCTCTCAGCAACTTCATTGGTCCTTGGGTCACCTTCCCCTGCTCAAAAAAAATCACTGCAAAACTTTTTAGAAAACCACTTATCAAGCCAGGCATAATGGCACATGCGTAGAATCCCAGCACTTGGGAGGCTGAAGCAGGAGGACTGCCATGAGTTTGAGGCCAGCCTGGGCTACATAGTGCACTCAAGGCCAGTCTGAACTTAGCAAGACTTTGTCTGAACTTAGCAAGACTTTGTCTCAAAAACAAATAAACAAAAAAAGAAAACTACTTATCATATTGGAGTCTGCAGTTATCTCTTCTTGACAGGTCATACAAACTGCTTATTTGGAAGGGACACTGAGAGTTGGCTGTATTTGTTTTTCGTTTTTTTTAAATAATAGTCAAGGACAAAGTTGATACTTAGAAGCCCAGCGATCATGCCTTGTCCCTCACTTTGGAAGCAGGGATTTCTGAGCTAGCCATTGAATCAGGCTAGACACATTTACCCCTCCCTGGGGTCCTGGGAAACCCTTTCTCTATAATATATTCAGAAGCCTTGTATTCTGTATGTTCAAACTTTTCCAACTGTGAATACGTGTAGAATCCAGGTTCCAAATAAAGAGGATAGCCTTTTCTGGGTGTAGTAACACACACCTGTAATGCCAGCACACGGGAGGCTGAGGCAGGAGGATCACAAGTCTGAGGCCAGTCTGGACTACATAGTGAGTTAATCTTGGCGACACATGACCACAGCAGAGATGTGGGGTTATGGAGCACTTCTGGCAGCTCATGGCCACTGCTGCAAGATGTCTGGCCACCATCCCTCCTGTGTCGTCCCTCTGCCTACCTGCTGGCACGGAAGCACACTTCACGACGATTGCAGAATTGCTCTGGGACTTGTTTTTGCACTGCCAATTTACCGTTGTCCGTAAGTTGGGAAGGAGGTTGAGAGGACACAGGTCTGGGCAGAGCTACCAGACCAGTACAGTTAAATAATAGTCCAAAGGGCACAGCGGGCACCGGCTCGGAGAAGGTCCATTGAAGGAGCGCAGAGCAGCTGAGCAATACTGGAGGAAAGTAATGTACGCGGGGTGAGGTCTTATCTGTGCTCGGGTCTCCTGCTCGTGGCTTCTTTGCGAGGGCGTTTCTGTGGGGCTGGTGCTGTCACTGGAGCAGATCAAACGCCCCCAAGGTTCGTTCTTCATTGTTGACTATGGGGAAGGGGGGGAGGGCGCAGGAGGGAAGGGGAAGGGGAAGAAAAGAGAACTAGGATGTGATCTGCCCCTGCCCCAGCTCCCCACGGTGAACGCCATCATTGTGGACTGCAGACGGGTACTAATAAAAACAAACATGAAAATTAAAATATGAGGACTGGTTTCTTTAAGTAATAGGTGCACAAGTAGACGATTTTGGCGGCACGATTCACTTTGACAGCCAACCAGGTAGTTCTGTCCTAGGCGGCCTGATAATTTGTCCGTGGTGCCTTTGTTTTCTTTTTTGAACAGCGGTGATCATAATGATAAGGAGGAGGAAGACGGCGTCCCCAAAGCACAACTTTAGCTAAAACAACAATCCTTCCACACCTGAGAATCCTCCAGTGACATTCACTGGGGAGAATCCCCCTCCTGGGGCCCGATCACTTCACGTGCTATACCTTTTATCACCTTAGCAACAGAAGATGTTGCTATCTAGATCCAGAACCCAAAGCAGTACTTTAAATTCTCACCTCAGTGGGCGTGGCATGCTTAAGGGGTAATTTTAGAGACCCAGGCGGCTCATCTGTCACCTCACTGAGCTGCACCTGCTTTGGATGCTGTCGAGGTACCATGGAAACACTTTCTGGATGCTGAACGGTTTAAGCAAATACTTACAAATGACAATGCATGATGTATTCAAATATGCAAATATTAAAGCACTCGCAAGGAGCACTTCGAAGGCGGTCTTCCAGTGCACATTCCGAAAACCAGGAACGGGCGGCACTTGACATCTCAGTAAATGAAAAATAGTGCAGTAAATACCAAAACAAGGCTTGGCCAATTCACGTTTCAAGATGAAGCGTATCGGGGGCTGGGGATTTAGCTCAGCGGCAAAAGCGCCTGCCTGGCAAGCGCAAGGTCGTGAGTTCAGTTCCCGGTACCGGAGAAAAACCAAAAAAAATTTAAAAATTTAAAAAAAAAAAGATGAAGCGTATCACTGAACTCACATGTGGGGACTGTTTAACCTTGGGAGGGGAAATGCTTTCAGTAGCTGTGTTACCGTCTCATTTGTTTCCACAAGTATTCAGCCAAGTTGGGTGTTTCTGGAGCCGGAGTATGAAGATGGTCCAGATTAGGGGTTTGCAGACTTCAGCCCAACATCAAATTGCCTGGAGGGGATGATGAACTATGACTGCAGGGTAGGACCCCAAGAGTTCAGTAGGCTGCAGGTTAGTTTGACAGTCAGCAAGTCGGTTCTAGATAATGTTGATATTGTGGATCCCTGGAGCAAAGTTTGAGAACCAATGGGCCAGAGATCCAAATTCCTTGCATTTTCCCCCATGGTTCCATCTGCTCTATTTCCTATAATTAAGCGATAAAACCTGGCGTGGTGGCGCACACCTGTAATCCCAGCACTCAGGAGGCTTAGGCAGGAGGATCGTTGCAAGTTCCAGACCAGCCTGGGCTACAAAGTGAGCTCAAGTCCAGCCTGAACTGCATAGTGAGACCCTGTCTCAAAAAGACAAAAAAAAAAGCGATATACTAGAAGAAAAAATAAGGCTTGGGGGATCAACTGTACTGTGTAACTTGGAAATAGTTAACAAACATGAGCTCAAAGGCTGGATAATCTGATCCCTGAGCACAATTTATTATGGAAAACTAGTAGGAGGTACAGTTGTCCCTTGGCACAGCAAGGGATTGGCTACAGGTCCCCCTCCCAGGCCACCAAAGTCCTAGGTGCTTAAATACCTTTCATGAAAGAATGAATTTGCATAGAAACTATGCGCATCCTCCTGTGGACTTTGAATCAACTCTAGATGACTTATCCTTCCTAACACAATGTATTTATTTATTTTCTTTTGTCTTTTAGAGACAGAACTGCTGTGCAGTTCAGGTTGGCCTTGAGCTCACTTTGTAGCCTAGGTTGGTCTGGAACTCACAATGATCCTCCTGCCTCAGCCTCCCGAGTGCTGGGATTATAAGCATGTGCCACGCCCGGCCTAACACAATGTAAATGCTATGGAAATACTTGTGCTGTATGATCTAGGAACTAATAGCAGGAAAATGGTCTGTATGCCGTGGTTAGTACAGATGTAACGGGGGAGGGTTGATCTGAGGTTGGTTGGATCCCTGGGTTCAGAACCAGGACATGATGAGGCAACTGTCCAGAAGAAGGTGAGAAAACGGGTGTGCAAAGAGACCCTAGTGACAAGACACCCTCCCCAAAAGGCCACCTCTAATTACTGTACGTAGCAGCTGAACCTGTGCATAATTGGTATCTAAAAATTATGGGAC